ACACCTCAGACTCTGTTGTGATCTCCATTCTGCATTTGCACATGGATACAGTCCCCTAATTGAGAGACTTTTTTTTTTTATTAAAAGCATTAGACATTTATATGTAGGAATAACACTTGCAGAGACATTCTCTAGGTTAAAAGTTAAAAGGGATGTCAATCATCATACTTCAGAACATAAACAGATTGCCAGCGTGGGTTGAAAAGGAATTTTCCCCACACAAAATCATAGAAGTTTGCAATAGAAAAGAACTAATAGGTCAGCTAATCTATCTACCTGCCAATTCAAGCTTCTTCCACAACATGTATTTTGCTGCTCCTTTGGCCTTTCAAAAATCTCAAGCGATTGGACTGTTAATGCTTACCCACAGAGATTATACAGTTGTTTAGTGCAACTAGTTTGCTCTCCAGAATTTTTCAGGTAGACAGATTAAACTTTATTTTTTTTACCTTCATCCCACTAGTCTTAATGCCACTTCCATCTATCATATTAAATAACATTTCTCTCTTGACTTATTTTTCACACCTTTCCATTAAATATAAATTGCTGCCATGGCCTGTTTGATGATTCTTACCTAATCTACTACATGCCTTTAGCTAAATAAACAATTCTTTTCAGTATGACCTATGTTTAAAATTATACTCTTGTAACTACAATGCAAATGAGAACAATCAGCTACATCATGACTGTAGGCAAACTAGAGCTTCTGAATATATAAATGAATACGCATATATTTGTCAACAAGGATATCCATATACGTGGTAAACTCACACCTATGCAAAATGAACATGCAGCTAACTATAATTTCCAGCAAGACAGCTCTTTCAGCTACATGAACTTTTCTATGGTACTCTTTTCTGTTCTGAAATTCTTTGTTCAGGAAGGAAGACAGCTTTCCAAATAAGGTGTCTGTCTCTACAGACAAAAAAAAATTGTTTGAGGATTCAGAATAATGAAGAATTTTCAATAAAATAAAAAATACAGAGAAAAGCTTTAGTGTTTGACAGGGAGGTTAAACAGGTAAAGGAGTGCTGTCCCTTCCACGGCCACTTATAAATTATCCCACAGACCACGAAAATCAGTCAAACCAGAATTCTCCAGCAGGTTTTAAAATTCTCATATTCTAGCTTGTAAACAATGGGAAGACAAAAAATGCACAGGTAACCCAAACAGGCATAGGAATACTTTGCCTTGGTCTCAAAGAGACACATACTCTTGCAGATGTGACAGTGGACAGGGTGAGAAAGTACTACATTGCTGTCCAAATGTATCACATGTGTATCTTCTGTTACTTGTGGGATTAGTAACATGTTAGAAGAATGAATTGGAAGGTAGAACTCTTGTACTCTGTGCTATTGTTACAGCACTTAGGAGTCAGAAAACCAACACAGAAAATGTCAACTCCTGCTGCAAACAGCTTGCAACTATCCAGTTTCTGTTTCCCAAGACAACTCGCCACTCTTGGATAGCTCAATCATCATTTTTCTAGAGCTATGGCTCTTGCAAGTGTAAGGTTTTACTACAGAGATATTTTGAAAGTATTGAGATCAAATTCCAAGCAGCTGTTATAAGATGAAAGTGGCCAGTGACCTTCACTGCACTGCCTAGCTCTCAAGATACTTTTAAACTCCATTGACCTAAGGTGATCAGTAGTCAAGGTTGTTCATATAGCAAACACAGATTGCAGTGGTTCTCCTGTAAAAGTGTGTTGAAAAGTACAATATAGAACTTTCTATTTTAGATCAGTTTCTATTATATTTCTAACAAGCAAGTAGGTAATATGGTTAAAATACAGGTGATGAAATGGTTACTATAAAGTTAATATAAAGTATCCTAACTAGACACATTTCTGTAGCTCTGTTTTTATATTTCTTTATATCCTTTGTAGATTGGCGTAAACACAATTAATTAATCATGAAAAGCAACTCCTACAGAGTAGAAGCAGGATTTTAGCTTCCAAAGTAACTTCCCTGCCAGACCTGAAAAATCTTATTCATTGTCAAGCAGTGTCACTCTTCTTAGCCAGCCTTTGATACCATGAGGTGCAGCAACCAAGAACTGCAGCAGTCTGCCTGTTTTTTGACATGGATACAGGATTGAAATATACTGGGCTATTTGCACCATCTGGTACATGCATTTCAGTTGAATGAAAGCAGATGAACTCCTGGGCACTTTGGTGATGAAACACCAGGAGAAAAAGAAACAAAACCCAAGAGACGAAAAAGTGTTAGTGAGGAAAAGAAGCTGAATTGATCTCATTTCTGGACTACAGAAGGCCATCTTCTAGGTTTCCTCACACTTGATATGGGACTACATGTTTGACTCCTTGCACGTTTGGAGTGGGAATGCGTTAGATTAAGCAGACTGTTCTAATGATCTTTTTTAGTTTTGAAATCTAGGGATCTATAAATATGTATATATCAATGTTGCTGTGACTATGATTTGCAGCTGTCAATCAGTTTGTCTTTATGGCTGTAAATTTTCATTTCACTAGATTTTTTTGCAGTCTTCTGAAAAGAATAAAAGTCTACTCCACATCTCCACATTTTAGACAGAAGAGTAATACATGATTAACAGTATGGTGAGAGGTGTCACATTCACATTAACACTGATGTGTGAACCAGTGGTCAAATGGCAGATTACATGTCTGTCACAACACATCAGGGCAGTGTTCCAGTCTGCCAGCTTTACCCTGCCCAGCTTCTTCAAACAAAGAGTTCTTCTGAAAAATGTAGCACAAAAAGAATGTTGAGCCTTTGGGGGAAAAGAAGTCTATCTCACAGTCAAATTTTTGAAGTCTTTGTAACATCAAATGGCAGAAGGGGTTACTCGCAGTCACATAACCTTGCAGGTTCATGGATCTCTATAGCACAAATGTTGCATAATGTGGCCTTATCAAAGATTTTCTGCATGATAACTGTATTACTGAAAAAGTACTATGGCTGGCATATTTTGATTTGGAGAAAGGATGCCAATTGTATCAAGGCTAGGAAAACTCTGACCCAGTTCCAAGACAAAAAGCAAGTTTTTGGAATATCATTTGAAGCAAAAGTTCCAGTTCATTGGAAATGTAATGAAAAGTGTCCTTCTTTTGTCTTAAGGACAGAATTTTGTTTTTTAAGTGGGTAATTAACTAGCTGCTTGACTTCTTACATAGCAAATAGTCACACCTGGAATTGAGGTGACTTTCAGTGGATAATGATGTCTGAAGCCAATATGTATAATGAAGAGTAACATATCTTCAATCCCTTAGGACGTTTACATATATTAAAAGCAAAATTTTAGACAATAATTGTAATATTGTTTGCAAAATCAAAAATACTTTCTCAGGGTTTAAAAATGCTTTCTAGGGGGTTGTGAATATCATGCTCACTTGAACAGTGCCTGACTTCTTACATGCTCTAAGTCCCAAAAGTTCTGCTAAATTTTCCTGGAAGTTAAATTGCTTGTTCCAGCAGTACTCTCACTGCATTGAATGCATAAATTGGAAGATATCAAGGCTAAAATGCTTAAAACACTTAAATAACATAAAAGTTAAGTTCTATTTTCAAGAACACTCAAACTATATAGGTTTTTCTTTACAACATAAACCCATGTCAGCTAAAGAATATTATCTAAATACTATACTGGTGAATAGCTGGCATGTGAGCCAGTATTTGGACACAGCCCAAAATGAGTAGTTAAGTATTGTCTTGGCTCATCTCTTAAATGTTAATATGTGTTTACTATATATAAAGGACTTGACGATAACCTCTTACAACATTTTAAACATTGACTTTATCAAAATCACTCCTGATTTACACAAAAACAAGAACTGGAAGATGGAATCTATGCATAGATAGGATATGGAAAAAGACACACACATGCGCACACACATATGTATATGTATATATACAAATGTGTGTATCTTCCATATGCTATGTATAATCTCTCTGTAACATCAAATACATAGTCTACATTTCATAAAATATTACAAATTAATTTGTAGAAATTTACTACTCCTTATATGGCAGTTATTTGGATTTTTACATTGATTTTGTATGGAAACATGCTACCATACAAATTATTAGCAAATCTAGTCCTTTGTATGATCATATAGCTTTTACTAAAATCCTCTTCTCTGGTCCCAATTTAAAATAATTAAGAATACCTATATAGTTGCCGAGATCTACGAATTTATATAGTACCTACACATTTATTTTAAAACTAGTATATTATGGTGATAAAAAGTATTTTTCATAGTTTTTCCTTTTTTTAACTCACTGCTTTGTTAGTGAAATGAAGTTCAACAACACTAAAATGAGCCACGATTCAGTTTGTCAGGTTTGGCTTCCTTTCATCATTTTTTTTCTTCCTGACACTATGAACCTGCTGCTACTGTCATAAGATGTAAAGTTTATTTCTGTACACATTTTGTTTCTCATTTCTGTATGAATGGCTCCTATGTCTTGAGGAATAGAAATGTAATTTTCTGTGGATTGAACTTAAACTTCTCAAGAATAACATAGGTATGGAATGTTACAAGGAGGAAGAGTAGCTAGAGGGTCTGGATTCCACCTTTAGCTATCTTCTTTCTAAGTCACTTAAAGTCCCTTAAATAATTATTCTTAAGCAGAAGTTTCACTGTATGTTACAGCACTATATAAATAGCAACTAGTGTTGTGCAGCACAGCATGGTGTTATAAATGATACAGCTGTACAACATTTTATATTCAGAAACTAGATAAAAAAAATGTGCACAACATAAATTCTATTCAATGATATTCATTAAATTATTCTCACATTCAAAGACAGATAAACTTAATGAAATGCTTTTTAAGCTCTCATAAGTGCACACTTGAGTGATGTAAAAGAAGTGTTAGAAAATTGTCTGATATTATGCTGGTAGGAAGAAAAGAGGTATACTTGTATGAAAATATTCTCAAGAAAATCAGAGCCGATACATAGAGTTTCCTATCTGTGAAGATCTTTAGTAAAAATAGTAATGAAATAGTACTTACAAGTGGAATTTTCATAAGAATTTATTATTGGTCAGCTCTGTTTCTTTTCAGTTTCATGCACGTTCTCAATAATTTCTGCAGAAGAAGGGTTTCCTGAAGTGTAGGACAAGATTCATGGGAAGAATTATGCTCTTAAAATCACAGTTAGGCATCTAAATAAAGCAACAATATTTTATTCTGTAATGTTCACAAAATCCTTACTGAACTGAAGCCTGTAAGTGTCTAGAGCTGCTCAGCATCTACATTTTCTGCAAATAATATTCCTGTAATGTCATTAGACACATGCTGAACAACCCATACTTTCAAAACACCATGAATAGTATCAACTAACACTCTAAGCCCAGAGTAATTCACAGATTAATTTCACAGCCCTGTCTGGGGGTCCTGAAAGTATTGCCTATACTTAGCTGTCAATTAGGGACTAAAGTGATTTAAATTATCCTTCTTAGAGGTTTGTTTTTGCTTCCATAGTTCATTTCAAAAATTAGTTACACACATGGTATTATTATAATATAATGAGTCATCTGTTAATTATTTTGGACATCTATGATAAGAAAATACACTAATGTTCCAGTTATTAATAGAATTAGCCTATGTATATGAAACTCAAATATACCAAATTGCCATGATTGTTTAACAAACTGTCACCAACTCACAGTTTCATCTTTAAAATGGTGCAGGTACTTTTTGTATCTAAGTTCTGTGAAGACATGTACAACCTGCAAGTGTGGCTTTACATAATTTCAGATAAGCAGTGTTTAACCTACCTTACTTTAAAGCCTTTCACGAAAATGCATGAATACACATGCTATCAAAAATAATCTTCAACCGACCACATGCTGTGTAAGGGTACCAGTGAAATACTTCATAAACAGACAGAATGCAAACATGCACAAACACACAAACCACTAATGCCATAAACAACTTCAAGCACAGTACAAACAAAATGCATGCCAAGAAACCTGTTTAAAAATGTGTATTATAGAAGAATGCATTTTCAATTTCTGAACATTTATTTGACTACTTATTACACAATTAACCAAACCATGTAAAGTCTGTGATGGGTTTTGAATTAAACTTCTACCAAGTTCCAGAGACTGTTTATTATTCATTTTTACTAGATAGATACGTGTTATGTACGATATTTATGATAGATCTTCTTTTTCTTCATGTGTGTCACCTAATAAAAATGGCAACGTATACGTGCTGTGATCATATGTCCCCTACGTGCATATCACATTTATAAACAGCCAGTAGTTATTGGGTGAGAATTTAGGTACTCAGCAAACATAAAAATCTAAATCATGCAACCAATTTACTCCTGATAAAAATCCACAGACTTCAATACCACTTTGCATCTGTAGGTACATTTACTTCTATAGAGAGTCTAAATATAGGAGTTTCATTCTAATTGGACTGATTACAGTACATCATATCAAAACCACCCAAGGCCTCACAAAAGCATCACAAAGTACAAAGTACCTAATGTGCCAAGGGGCTGACAAGTGAAACCCTTAGCCCACGCTTGGCAAGCAGACTGGTTGGAGACAAATCTGAATAGGATTTATGTTAGTGAAAAACAGAGAAGGCTGCTGTTAAGTAGGAAATACACAGAAGAAAGTCAGAGCTTAGAATCTGTCCCTCAGAAGGAGCTGGGTCTATGAGTCCAGTCTATGTGCTGGAATTTAGCCTGAGATTCTTCCCATCTCTTCTGGGGAAGACTGTGAGTTAGGACCAATTTAGTGTCCAGCTTTAAGACAGAAATGACAAAAGATAAAATTTCATGAAAATTACTTCCAGATTCTTCCTATATACTTTTACTACTGATATGGAAAACAGCAATACAGTGTTGTGGCAGGCTCTGAGCTGCATAATTAGTGGATGGCCAAATATATAACTACCAAATCTAGTCTTTTCCTTCCTGGAGTTCTGACTTTGATTTTTTATCTTCTCATATAGGTGTTCAGATTCAAAAAATCTGCAGGAATCTTGTGATCATGAGTCCTTTGAAAAATTCACTTATATTGACAAAATGTTTACAGGAAAGGCTGTGGCAGAAGAGGGTAGATAAAAAGATGGACTGGTAGCAGGTGTCTGGGTTCTTAAGGCTAAATCCAGTCTTAAAATGCCTAGCCAGACACAGAACATAGAGACTGGAGTTCACTGAAAATCAGAAGTGAATCAGAGAGTGAGCTGACTGGTAAGAGGTGCTGACAGGACAGGGTAAGCTCAGGCACAACACCAATCCAAACATAGGTTCATGGGGCTAATCAATGGCTACTAAGAAATACTGAGGTAAATCTTTCAGGGCATGTCTAAACTGTCACTCGAATGCAAAAAGATTTAAGAAGCAGAGTGAAAAACTGTGAATGGTCTCAAAGTAAGCCAGAATTAGAAAATTACTAAATTAAATCAAATAAGTTTCACTGACGACTAAACAGACCACAGCGTGGGCACTGATTTATCTGTTCTGATGACTCATATAGAGGCAATTTAACCAGTTGTCCATCCAGGCAGAAGCCACTATCCCCGTGGCAGAGAGAATGTTCACTCCCCAGATGCTGCTGTTTATAACTAAGCATAATAGAATAAATGCAATTAGTGGTCTTGCAAAGTAACACAGAATTTCACATTCCAGATTGGCTGAAAGGTGATACGTCATCTCTTCATTCATGCTGTTCAGCAAGAAGAATTATCCCCAAACGAGTTATCATTTAAATTCAACAAATACTTCTAAGATACTAATGAATCTTCATTACCAGATTGCACTGATTAAACTAGTAAAATTCTAAATGAATTCAATTAAATGGGCATAACTTTTGCACTGCATCTCAGTGTTCAGAAAAGAGCCACGTATTAATTAGATTATTTACTGTTCTTTGCTTTTAAGACATGTTTAATTTGAAACTGAACAAACAGTAAGAAGTAAAGACTATTCTGAATTTTGACTAAAATTTCATTTAATGCCAAAAACATGTTTCTGAATACTCCTCAGGAATAGGAAATGCTTCAGGAGAAGGTGGCAAACCAAGCTACCCTTGATATTTTATAATTTAGGGAAAAACACAAACACACAAAAATTTAACCATGTGGACATGTAAATAAGTGAACGTTCCTAAATTTTTTTTTCAGAACTTTTCCTAAATCTGAATTAAGTGACAAGATAGTAGTTGTTTTCATTTTATTTACCCTTCAGATCTTGCTTATACACAGCTTTAATGTTTTCCTTTATAATCTCTGCACCCTTATTATCTATGTGTCTTTTCCCTGGTGACTGTCTGCCTCTGAAAAATACTGATTAAGGTGAACCCTGTCTGCCTTTTCATGCTCAGCAGAAGCAAGTTTTTTTCAGTTTTTCATTCTGACTAAAGATCAACTTAGGACAATCAACACTCCTTCATTTTTTTCAAATTGAAATTTGATAATTTGCTGGCTAGTACAAAACGAAACAGTATACTTTTGTAAGCTTAGAAAGAACTTTCTCCTGTTGGTAGTAGAATTCTGACACGCAATTTTTGTGGCTTTTTTCTTCCTCAGACATAAGGAAGTTGCCAGAGAAGTTGCTTGGGTTTTCTAAGTGGTTAGTGACTTGCCCAAGTTCTTTTGTAGCAACAATCCTCTCTTGTTGCAGTGAAATAACTTGGGTTGATATTAAAAAAAAAATAGAGAAGTTAGAGCTCTGGCTTTGGCATAGGGGGAGTATAATTTGCCTGAAGCCACGGTTGATTTGGAAGGTTGTGGCTATGGTGATGCAAATCCTTCGACACAACTTCAGACTTTAGGTCAGTAAGTAATATTCGAGTTCCTTCCTGATAACTGAGCATGACTCAGTGATTAAAGCTGTCAGGTGGCCTGACATCTCTGGAGGTCTGCTATCGAAAAAGTCATGGCCAGAAGCCTTGAAACCCATATACCTGTCTCTGTGTTTATTAATGTCATCACTAGTGGCAAATGTAACATACAGTTTAAAAAAATAATGCTCTATTTTTTTTAACTGGATTTATAAAGTCCAAATGTTTACTTAGAAACTAAACATTTTGGTACTGGGGCCTCTAGGATATGTTGGCAGTGGAAAAACTAACCTACACCAGATGGCAGAGGTTAAAGAAATACTATAAAATATGGCTTCTATTCATACAGTTCTCAGACAAACAGAACCCCAAGCAGAAAAAAACTGTGAAAGTGGAAAACCTTTTCATTTGCTTACATTTCTCTTTGCTACTCAGCAAACCTGAGAGGTATTGTATCATCACGTATCAAGAAAGTAATATGCCAGATTGCTGTAACAGGTGGAATATGTTTGTTTGTAACACGTTGAATCTGAAATAAAGAAAGGACCAAAGTTACTAAAGGTTTTACAAAAACATTTGTAAAATGTATGTAGCTTGGTTTTGTACCTGCAAAGCTTACTGCGTAAGTGACAATTTGAGACAATAGCTGCATTTTGCACAAAAAATAAAAAAATTATACTGTCAAATTTTCACAGGTTCAGTTAATTTGTATAGGTGAACATGTAAGCTAAGGAGATAATTCTGCATTAGCCTTTTTAATTAAACATTTCATAAAACAGAGCAATTTTTATCTATACTTCACACTATTATACCTAAATCATATAATTTCTAAATGTCATCCTTAGTTTTTGTTTCTAAAGCTTCTTAAAATCACAACTGTTTTGTAACCTCAATATACTTACATAGCATTTCATGAATTTATTCTTTTTATCGTATAAATGCAGCCTTACAATAGAAATACTTATTTTATAAATTTTTTTCAGTTAAAAACCAGTAAAATAAAATGCATGATATAACCCATTTTCTTACTATATATGTAGTCACATGATGTTAAAAAAAAGAGAGAAAAAAAACTGATGTGAACTTGGGCACAATGGACCATGCTGTCAAAAAAAATCAGTTGTCAAAAATGCAGATGGCATAAAAACACAGAAACAGATAAGTTATTAGAATAATTTTTTTTAATAAGAGCTATTGCATGGATTTTTAAAATGGATTATGTGCCTAAATATGTGGATGGGTAGCCACTATAGTCTTCAAGGATACCTAAATGTTTCTTGATAAACCCATTTATCTGAACAGTTAGGCAATTAATACTTTGAGAGATATGGTCTAATGTCCAAGATAGAAGTAAATGTTCTTCCATATAAATAAAAAGCTACCTGATGACTTGTCCTTTTCCATTAAAAAAAAAAAAGAGAAAAAAAAGAAAACAAAGCTGCAGCAAATGGAAAGCTCTGCACAATGAAAACAACTACTGTGCAGTTCTCGAGAATATTCAGTAAAGACTTCATGTATTTGAAGTGTCTGAACTACTATCATACTAGTAATGAAACAGCACTACTGGGGGCATTCAAAAGGATGATTAAGGCTGGTAACTAGCTACCTGGCCAATCTCAACAGTTCAGCTATGGGCAGGCTCTGCCTTTCCCTCCTGAGCAAGTTCCCATGAGACAGAGAGAAATCTTGAAACACAGAACATACTTAGAACTACTATGACTGTTCCCTCCTTCTGCCTACCCTATTTTTGCCCCTTTTGCCTGTAAGATTAGTGGCATTTTGGTGTGAATACAAAGCCTCTTTGCGATGGATATAGAGTCAAGTGTTCATAATAAACTCATCTCTTATTGCTAGGCAACACTGAGCAATGTGAATTTGTCACTTCTGTTTGGTGCAACTTTCGATTTCACCTCCAACTGTAACAATATAGCCTGCTATATTTTAGATGCCACTGTGGTTGGATGCCATCCCAGGAAAGATGTGAACTACTACTGACAGGGAGTGAATGACTGGCAATGGGCATAAGCAGTTTTTTGATTCTTAAGCCTTGACATATAATTAATTGTTAGATTTATTCTTCTATGAAACATACTTCATGATTCCTGTTTACTGGCTGCCTTTTAGAAAAGGCAAATGGAACAAACAAATTTCCAGTGAGGGGAAGTTTTGCTAGCCTGTTTACCTTTTTTTTCATGTAGTATTTGTTCTGTTTGTATTTTTCTGCTTTGACTGTCTTTTTGAGGGGTGGCTATAAGTAAAATTCAGATTTTAAGTATCCTCAATGAAGCAAATATCAATATTTCTAAGGCATATCCAATTATTTGCTTGAATCAATATGTTCCTTACTTAAGAAATTGAGGTTCAGATTATAAAATACGTTGAGCAACTCTTACATACTGCCCCTCACATCTAACACCACCCATTGTCGAGGAGCTCAGATTATTGCAGAAAGAATACACAATTTTTTCAATCTGAAATGAAACTCCTCATCCAATTCAAAATAAGATGAATGCTATTATGTGCTACCTAGGCTTTGGTTTGTTTTTCTTTTTTATTAGAGAACTGATAATTTTGGCTTTAAAATCTGTGTGTGATTGCCTAATCTGGCTACGAGGTCTCAACTCTTTGAACACTTAGGTCCGTTTGAGAGGCAAAAAAGGGAAAACTGAAAACTAATATTGTTTCACCACCTTTGTCTAAGACACAGTTAGAAAGAAGGACGAATTTATACATCAAAGAAAACACACATCTAAAAAGTTAGCATCACTATCAACAGTTATTTCTCTAAATGTTTAGAAACGTTTCCCAACTATATTAACTACTGAAATATGACAAACAGCTGAGAATCCTAGTAATATTTTAGTCTTTCATATTTTCACTGACTTACTGAAAACAAAAGGAGTTTCCCTAACTGTATGAATGAACCATAGCATGTGTGTATTCTTTTAAGAAAGGCCAAGGGTGCAGTTCTATTTTCTTAGCTCTGCTTTCATATTTATGTGTCTCATTTCCAGCTCATTGCTGATGCCTTAGTTGCACTATCCATCAACACTTTTATCCTCCTTGTTCCTCAAAAAGAACATAAAATCCTTTTTTATGTTGTGGTAATATTATTGCAAATAAAAGCAAATACCAAAATCTTTATTAGTCTGCCAAAATAATAAACTATTTAATAAAAGCATGCTGTAAAAATAAGGTCATTTGCATCACTCAAGTTCCTTACAGAAAATACAGAGAATTATTGGTCAAAAAGTGCAAACTGACAGCAATTATTTCTGTTGTTGATCTAATGCTGCCTGAAAATGGGATAAAAAATGCACTGAGGTTTTGCAAGTTTTCCGTCTTTAACTGTTTTTAATGCTGTTGTATACTTAAGAGCCTGGGAGAATGAAATTTTTTAAAACTGTATTTTAACCAATCTTATCCATAGTGGAAGAAAGAGAGACTGGATATACTCTATTAGAAATCTTTAATGCAAAGTTATAGTAACCTTCTGACTCCCATCTTGCCACAGGATTTATCATCCAAATATTTACCATTTTTATATTTCTTATTAATTGTGTTTCATTAGGATTTGTGTCAGTTTTATCTATATGACATTTTTCACCTTTTTCTTTTGTCGTCCTTGCACACAGATCAATGAAAAGCTGATATTTAAGAAGTTTGTTAAATGTTTAAAGTTACTCATAATATGCTGTTAAAATCATGTATGTAAGTCTGATCCTTTTTCCCTGTACTACAAACCTCACCATTATTTTCTCACTGCAGTTTCTCTCCCCATCTGGCAGTTTTGCAAATATGTTATTGATAGAGCACAGAAAAATCAGTTGCCGTGGTGAGATTTAAACACTGCTTGTGATGTCCCTGAATACTTCCCCAGATGAACGCGCATATAAACATTAAAAATAAACCAATCTTATAAATTTTTAAGATTATAAATTATCTCATTCATTATACACAAAGTATCTACCTTAATTGCCATAATCTAAATGATAAGAATTATCTTTAGAACCATTGAGTTAAAAGGTTTACGAAAAGACTCTTTTTAAAATACTTATTACAGTGATCTTTTGTAACTTACACAATTGTAAAACTCCATAAATCTCAAAATACTCTGCAAGGTATATCTATGTCACTTTACAGAGAGAGAAATTGAAACAAAGAGCAGCTGAAAAAGCAGGAATGATTGAGCAACAATCAACAAGTTATTGACCAGAAAATAAAATTTTAAGATTCAGACCACTGGTGTTGTCTCAGTATTTCTGGGCTCTATTGCTTCTGCTTCTTAAGCTCAGTAGAGATGCTCCACTTATTTAGAGGATGAGGACTGTATAGAGATTAAATATTTTAAAAAAACATTATATATATTGAAATGAGTATTTCACAGAGCCCTGTTAGTATATTCAATCATGCTTTAAACCATTAAATCGGCCAGGAGTTATTCTCCTTGCTTCACAGACTGCAGACTGCTGAAAACTGAATTTAATGTTTAGGATGTCATGTGATACGTGCAGGTTAGATAAAAGAATTCATGTTAGGAACAGAACTTTTTTATTCTGAAGGTGTGGAAATTTACTATTTGCATCCATCAGTACGTTCAGTCAATGTAAGTTTTTTGTCTTCCAAACCTGAGCTGGGTTACACAATCTGGTAAAGTCCCTCATATGTAGCTAAATCAGTAATTTCCAAAGTTTACTTGTTTGGATATTGTACAGAGTAACAGCAGTTGCTGGACTAACAGCTCCCAAACATATGCAGGACCGTGTACTTCAGAAGGAAGGTGTTTAAACCTTATGACAACCATACAATTGAAATACAGAATATGTACAAGAGCTTCAGAATACTCCATCATTAATCAGTGTTAGGGTTTAAATTAAAAGCACTTGCATTGTATGTGCTTGGTATTTATTGGGATTGCTATGCTATGTATACATCATTATGACAGATGGGATTATAAAATACTTAGATAATTGCAGAAATGTTAATTAGAAGTTTGTCTATTCAGGCTAAGATATGCAATAAAGACATCACCAAATTACATTTTTCAGAATATTTTATCTTGCATTACCTGTAAAACAGTAGATTTGCAAAGGTCTTTTAAGGATTATTTCTGAGCTGTCTTCTTACACATAAGAGAATTAAGTAAATCATCAACAGTGGAACAAACCAATGGAAGATTCCTGTAGATAATAATTTGTGACTTGAAAAGACTACAAATTGTTTAAATTCCCTTCAATACTTTTAAAAAACCCCACAACCCAAGCAACCAAAAAAAAACCTAACAAAAATAAGCAACCCAAACCAGGCAATGGCAACTAGCAAATTGAAATTAATGTTCATGCAGCAAAAACCAGGGAAGGCTATCCCTATGGGTTAGTGGCATAGTTGACTACGGACAGAGAATCTCTGAAGTGAACCCCTGGTTCACAATCCTCCTTTTCAATCTCTGCAGATGGGTGATAAACTTTTGCTCATATCAGCTCTTATTCCTGAAGTTGTAATGATTTTTTAATGTTATTGCAGTAGTACAATGACTGCAAAACCGTATGTTTTTGAAAATCATAATGCTTACATGAAAACCAGAGAGTAGGTGTCCTGGTTTTTGTCTTTGCCCAATTTCTCAGGCACTACAGAACCTATGGGACAAGAAGAAGAGACCTTTTTGTTCAAAACCGGTTCTTATCAATATGGTAATCAGAAGTATCTTTCAGACTCTCGAAAAGTATTTCTTTACTTCAAGGCTTAAACAACATTAAAGAAAGCATACAGACAAAGCAGTGTTGGAAAGGAAGTAACATGCCCTTATTTTTAGCACTTGCCCACTTGTCACTTAAACTCTCATCTGCCTTTCAAATGTAGTGCAATCTAATTTTTATGCATACTGTATGCTCATACAGACAATTTCCTTATTTCAGAGTATGTTGAGTTTGGTAATGGTTTTTGTACTTTTTCTTAACCTGTTTCAGAAATAGCACTGCCACCATTTGTCTCAGTAATATACAGGACGATGGAAATTGACATTTTTCTATATAGAAGTGAAAAGAATATTAGTTTTATCAAAGACTAGATCCCTTCTTCCCCTCCAGTTATATTTGAATTTGGTGACTTCAGGGCTTACTGTGTAGGATGATTTTAAGCAATGGTCCCTGTGGTTGCTGCCTCTATTACCTAATAATTGACCATGACAGAAATTATAAGTCCAAAGCCAAGGGGCAGAGTGAATAGCATATGTCAGGGTCAATTATAAGGTGGAAGACCCTGCAACAATAAAGACTGTACTGATTAGAGCATGATATTGACATGGGGGCCGAAGCTTCAATGTTATTTCAAAGGGCACTGTCACAACCACCCTTCCTTGAGGACTCAAAATCAGAGCCAGATTATGTCAGTGGTTTATACTACAAATGATGTCATAAAGTTCAATGGGACATCGAAAGTTACAACTGATTTGTTGCTTTTCTTTTCAGCAATAAAATGCTTTCTCAGAATCACTCATAATTAAGCTCGCTACTTTGCTAATTAGGTCAAAACAGCTTCATACTTACTAGATTCTTTCTTGAAAAATCCAACTCTCTGAGATGAAGAGTATTAAACGTGACACAGTTAAAAACTGGTTTGATTGTTAAAGTTATTAATGTTATTTCTACTGGCAAAACTGAACAGAATAGGAACCATGGAATGGAAAGAAAATAATCCTTTTTATTACTTTTATTACTTAAAGCTCTGTTATAAATATTTTATGGTATGGGAAGATTTTTGTAGTGAAACAAATGGCCCAAAAAACTTGCTGTTTGCTTATTCCCCTGAAACTTCACCAGTTTTAACCTACTCAAATGTTCTTAATCAATGATGAACCACAGAACCATTTAGTAAGTGAGGAATGATCTCAAATTATACACCACTACAATAAGAGACTATAGTTCCGGTTTAGATTTTCATTCCAACAGTTCAATTTTCTGACTCTTTTCACTGAAGGCTGCTTCTCTAAATTTCTGAGACTCTGTAAAAATATCCCAGCCATTTCTGCATACAAGATCCCAGTGGTTTAGCTCATGATGAGGAAGAGGATACTGTAGCTTAACCTCATTAACTAGATAGCTAATTTCTCTCTGTTATCATGGGTTATTATCCATGACCACATTTTTCCTGGGTGTTTTGCAGCCATCATATAGATGGCTAACTCCCAATAAATTAAAGTCTACAGTTTTAGATTCAAATTTGTTGAATGATGAACATATTATAAGGATTATTGAGCCTAAAAGATCTCTTCCTACCTAGAATGGTTAATTAGGAGATCATAGTCTTTAACATACAGTTAATACAGCTTCACAGGAAACATGTCATATTAGATAAGAGGGACCTGTTTTTGAATCTTGTACATGTACTTCTTTACAACAAACATCTCTGATCTACATTTGTTTCAATGTAACATTAGAATAGCTCTCACATTTGTTTTGTATTCAAAACTTACACAAATTTAAAAAACTGAAATGTTTATTTCTAAAAATATCAATTTTTTAAGTGAGAAAAAGACAGGAAAATATAGAAGTGCTTTAAACCTGTAAATAGAATATCTCCACTTAACTTTTTAATTGCAATCAAAATAGATACATGCAGAACAATACCTCCTTTGGTACTACAGGCTTTCTGGTGATCTGGAGACTTTTCTTTTTCCCCTTGGAAGTACTTACAGACTTCAGATAGAGAAAAATACATTTAAATCCCATGGATTAAGCTGAACAGAAAAAATGTAAATGAATGATTTTGCCAGTTACACTTGACAGTTTCTCTTGGTGGTAATTAAAATTAGTGCTTTTATTAATATAGTAAAAATTTCAAACACTGAAAACTCATTTAGTCAAGTGAAAAAACTGTTCAGCTGCCAGTGAATATGAATTTTAGCTTGCACTAGTGTCTGATGGAAATGGAAACACTGGTCATTTTGACAGAGGCATGATGGTATAAGGCTAATTTTATACTTTTGACTCTCTGAAGATTAGTAGATTGGTTAGCGAAAATTAAGTTCAACAAAAGCTTAGAAAAACTCTCATCATATAAGGACAATTACAGTCAAGAACCTATATAAAGCTACCTTAGGCTAAATTCTATTTCTGTCATAGTAGTTCATAAATACAGGTCTGAGAGTCTTCAAAAATTCTACATAAAGGACGAAGTAAAGTTGTGCAATTTCATAGTTCCTCAAAAACAAGTCAAATCACCTATGAAAATGACAAGTCTTGTCTTACCAGAACTAAGAACTATAGGAATAGGTGCATATATATTTAGTAGTGTTTATACGGAGCACTTAGGAGCAAGGAGCCCACAGGCCCAGTATGTCATTCCTCACATACAGCACTGATCACCAGGGTGATCATCAGTGTGAATGGCTGGAGGTCAACCAGAAGTATACCTATTTCTGTCTAAAAAGAAATGATCAGTGGGACAACGTGCTCAAGCTAATCTTAACAGGCTGTTTTATCCTGGGCCTGATGCACTGTTAGCATGGTTATGCAGCATTCAAGCAACGCTCCTTACATCTGTCGAGCTGTAGAAATGTTGACAGAAGGACCTTGAGTCCTTCTACCTCTGAATGGGGAGATACGCTGCCCGAGAAATTTCATTCAGATTCTGGTAGTATGTCAATACATCTCAAGCTGCCAAACCAGAGTATTTTTCCCAAAATTTAATTCAAGTTTATCTTGTGGAAGAATTCATAATACCGTGTTTACTGTGAAGTAAGTGAAAATTCAGGAAAGTTGTCAATGACAGGCAGCTAAAGGAACTCTGCAGCCAGTTTCTTAGTGAAAAAGTCCAATATATTCTCTTGTAAAATCTCAATTTTTTCTGTATTACATAAACAGTTTTGAGTATTAAGAGAGGCAAAAATACTGCCACCTGTTAGATGAGGAAAACACCTCTGACTGCAGGAGAGTCAGAGCAGGACACTCTAATGAGAGGCAATAGTGGCACACTGCCAGCTACACCCGTGAAAACCCTGACATTCCCGTTTTGGACATGGTACCGTGAGCAAAGGAGGAGATGATTTTCAAAACCTTTTTTTTCAAAATGGAAATATTCCTCTAATATTACACCTGCTTTATATATGCAGTATTCTATTACTTACTGGTGATTATATTAGGAAATCTTTTAATTAAGAACTTCATTAGTTCATCTTTAAGTGCCAATCACCAGATAATTGGCCCTTTTCTAAGAGGCACTGCAGCTCAGGTATGCTAAAATGACTGTTTCTCAGAATAACTTACTGAAAGTAAGTTATTTTTGGAACTCATTTATAAGAGGACTTAATTAACTATTCCAGATCATTAGGGATACTGCATTGCGTTTTTTAATCCTCTGACAGGTTCCTCCAGTTATATTAATTCATTATCATTATTTTCAACTCTCTAGGCAGAAAAGGGTGAAAAAGAAACACTGAGCCATTGCTGGCATTCTGTACAAACTAGCCAGTACTTCTCCGAGATGAAAGGCAGCTTTGGTGGATTTTATTGTTTCAGCTGCTGCGGCAGTAGAACAGAATGTCTTGGGGCAAGCAGCTTGAGAGATGATGCACTGCCTTTTGTCCACCGTCGTACGGCAGAACTTTTCAAGAGCAGTGACACTGCAACAGAACTATTCCATCAGGTGAATGAGAGTAAACAGGTTTTCTCACAGAATATATTCCACATAATCTGAAAACAGCATCTTTTTGGGGAAAATCTGTTTTGAAACACCACTTTATTATTCAATTTTGATATATTTCGCAAATTCTGGGAGCCAAATCTCACTTTTTTATTTGTGCAAATAACTACTGATGTCTTCATCAAATGGAAGCAAAAATTCCAATCTCACTAGCACACAAAGCAGACTTTGGTCCTAGAGCGACATATGTAACTTCTACTTCAAACAAGTCTGACTTGTAAGTGGAAATTTGATTTTTTTGGAAGCTGTAAAACTGAATGCAATAGAACCATCTGCTGAAAAAACAGCAACATTGTATCAGAATAGATTAGTAATAACAGACCTTTGCAAAAAAGTGGGACTTCAGAATTACTCTTTTCCAGATCTTCTAACAATGTTACTTAGAAGAGATCTTTACAAGTCTTTGAGTATTTGTTCTAAAGCTGTCTGATTAAAGTTACAGATTATATGGCCTCTCCATTTTATAAAGCACCAGAATAACTTACGTACATGATTTTTAGACTTTCCATGTATCATTGCTAAATATTGTAAATTAGTATCTTTTAAGTATTCACAACTACTAGCCAAATTATTCTTTCTTGTGATAATAATAAACATATTTAATTCAAACACAGAAAACATGGAGGTGATGTATGACAAAATTACCTTCTTTTTTCTTTCTTTTTTGGTCAATAAATCAAATACCTTTGGTCTGCCTTTTTTTACAGTTCCTCAGAGGTGTGGTTATTTTCTACTAGTTCATATACTATGCAGTATTGCTTCATTCAGTTTGGTAATCTCTGCTAAAATCTCCCTTTTAATTCAGAACACGTCTCCATTACCTCTCCGAGCCAAAAAGAGAACACCAATCCCTACCAAAATCCC